AAAACACGCATACCTCGATATTAAGAATCATTTTATCATAAGAATGGTTGATCACCAATAAGCACAAACCATTTCATCTTTGGGACATCAATAAGCAAAGTCTTGCTCATACCAAGTTTGATCATCAACTCCGAGATGGAGGAAAATGAAATCCGATTGTTAAAGACTAACATTCAACAAAGAATCGTTGCGAAGACAAACCACCACTGTTCCAGATGTGACCGCATAACAAAATGAGAAAGCAAAACTAAAAGACAAACTATAGTCTCCTTGGTGATGATAACAGTGCAAAACTTTGTTTTCATTAGGAATGAGAAGGCAAAGAACTAAGAAGGCACCATTATCTCATTGAAAATCTAGGAACAAATAATGACAAGATCAAGGATGTCTAGGATCATCTCGGGCATAATGTTCAAAAGTCACCAGGTATAAAAATTATGGTTAGGCGTAATAATCTTTCACAAATGAATTTCGGGCAAAATTATTATTGGCTCGTTTTGGATGAGGTCAAGAAAAAATTATTATTCACTCTTTTTTTTTATTTAGGCTGAATATTATTCACTCATTAAAAAAACAATTATAAGTTATTTTTTACTTATGTGGTATCATTTGAATAAATGCACAGTAATTCATACATTTCATATAAGTGAAAAGAATCAATAAAAATCATGTCAAATTTTTATATTTTCAATTAATTAAAGTTATTAACAAATCATTTTCATATAAAATTAAGATGACATTGAGAAGACTGAAGTTAAGATCATTTAAGCTAACCTTAATATTGATCATTCTTCTACGTACTAAAGTAAGGGATAGATAAGAATAGATACCACCTCTTCAAAGAAAAAATTTTTTTTTTCTCTTAAATCTTAATATTATCAATTAAGACTAGTTCCCCAAATTATTAATAATGGAATAGTTAATCTCAACCTCTTAACAAAGTTTTTCAATTTTACATTGATTTTGATAATTTAGACAAGGAATAGTACTAGTCCTCCAATCAAACGAGAGCTAATAGCTAAAACAATTGAGGAAGACCAAAATCCCCAATTCCATCGCTCACATTTTCTTGATTTTTCTTCCTTCCCAAACACCAGTTCTTTAGATGGATTGGATACTCTAAGCAATTCAAGAATCTAAAGAGGCACTCGACTCCCTGTCCGTCCGATTCCTGCTAGATGCTCCGAATGACGCCTCGCTTGAGAGGTTGATGGTGAAAACGGTACACTTCTTCGTCACGCAACTTTTGACCAGGTACCGGAGAGAGTTGGGATTGAAGAAGGCAATGCCGAATAAGCTTCAGAAAGAATCGCTGTTGAAACCACCACCGTATCGGCTCAAGCTTCTCCGGCCATCTTTGAGCAAAAAGCGTAAGAAAAGATGAAAGATCTCAAGGAAAAGATCAACGAAATTATTAGCTACATATACAGCACAGCCATCGCAGCATATCAATTAAGACCTGGATTCTAGGAAGCAATTACAGAAAGCAATTAATTAGCAATTGCATTATACCGTTAGAATATTGTATATATATACTGTACAAATTCAGCAAATCAAATAGGAAAAAGGCAATATTTTTCTATAGAAATGGATGCTGATCTCCACATGCTTCTGGAGTATGTCACCGGTGCGGTTTTTGACAACTATCGCCTGTGCAATTCGCTGCAGATTCGAGACGAAGATGAGTACTCTTCTTTGAAGTATGTTCAGAGCATATTTCCAGATATTGTTCAAATTCCGATCGAGTGCATATATAGGTGATTTCCTAAATGAGCAAGAGGGCCATGCTAATGGGTTCCAGACGATTTAGCAAGTTCCAATTCTGGGGATGTTGGTTGCATGTTGCCCAATTTCTTCTACAATTTCCTCTGTTTTTACCCCTGTTTTTGCTTTCATTTGGGTCTGTCCGGTACCGCATGAATTGAGGGATTCCCGGTGTGTTACCCTCAGACTGTTCTCCAAATGTTCTAGCCATGCGAAAATATGAAAATTTGGATTTCATTTCACTATCAAGCAAAACATTGCTTGCTTTGAAATCTTCATGGATGATCCTCAATCTAGAACCTTGATGTAGATAGACAAGTCCTCAAGCAATTCCACAAATAATGTGAAAATGCCTAGATCAATCTAATAGATTCCTTCTTGTTTCATCTATCAGGCAACATGTTCTTCGGATTAATGGAGTGTTCAACAAGAGTTTTTGAAAAGAGTTGCATTGAAAGATGAAAACAAATTGTGATGAATTAATGCTACTCCTACTAAGTTAATTAAACAGCCTCACAGGAATCCGAGCTTTTATTAGGCATATCTTCGTAAATCAGCATTTTATCTTCAATGCAGTATCCTAGAAGCTTTACAAGATTCCGTTGTTGAAGTTCGGCTATAAGTGCTACTTCATTTTTAAACTCAACTAATCCTTGTGTAGAGCATCTGACGAGCCTCTTCAAAGCAATTTCTTTTCCATCTGGGAGGGTACCCTAGAAGGGTGTACACTTAAATTTCATTTCTTAACAAATAAAGACTTATCATCCTCATAGTCATTTTTACTAGTGCTCTTACAGATTACCTTACATACACGCATAAAGCCATGTCCTATCGGCTTAACTCAATAATTAGTTTATTAATTATTAGTTCAATTTTATTGCAGTTTAAAAAATTTGTTTTCTTTATAAATGATCTATAAATTTTGGAAAATATTTTATAATAGTCTAACATACAAAATTTTTGTTAAATTTAATGGAAAAGTGAACTTAGAGTCAAAATAAAATAGTTCTTTAAGTTTTGAAAAATTGACACTATAATCCCAATAAAATATGACAACTCAAAGAATACTTTATAGAGATACATTAATTAGAATTTGTAATGAACTTAAGCAATTAGGTCAATTCGAAGAGAGAAACTTAATAAGTATAGAATAACAAGCTTCAAAAGCAAGTCTTGAAGGGACAATAAAAGTTAGAACAGTAACTACCAAATAAGAATAAAGAGTGAAGGAATAAAGCAATACTATTAATACACTTCTTTTAACATGAATAATGAACAAATAAACCAGACTAACACTTATTTACTTAATATATTGGGCAAAGACATAATCAATATAATGAAATCCCAGCTAGCTATCCCTCAATTCCTAAGATATAAAACTCATTTCTTTTCCTTTATAAAAATGTGAATTTAGTTTTCAATATATATGTATAATTTGTTGTGCAAAATAAAATAGAGATCAACTGCAATCTTGCAAATAAAGTGCAGAAAAATAAAAAGAAAGGGAAGAGAATATTAAGCCGTGATTTATGGTGGTTCCTCCAACCCGGAGTACGTCCACTCCCCAAGCCTCCTTGCTCGAGAGTTCAATCCACTAGAAATCTCTTGCTTACGGATGCAAGATCAAACCGGAACAAACTCTTGCTTATGGGTGCAAGATTAAACCTTGACAAGTGAATCTCAACTCACTCAACCCCTTCAAGGATTATCCCAATCCAAGAAGAATACGAAACCCTTGTAAGACAATTAACCCAAAAGCTCACAAGAAGAGAAGAAGAAGGAGATCTAGAACACTTTCAAAAACAAACCCTGTTTTTCTGTATTGTTGGAGCAGTTCGTCCTTCTTCATACATCAGATCTAATTTTTTATGTCCTTTTAATAGTTGGTTGGGAGCCTTGCAATTAAAGCCCTTTTAGCCTTTCAAAGCCACCTCACAATTGCCCCAATTAGGTTCCACCTTATTCTTCTGACTTGTCTTGGAAAGTGCTAAGACATTTAGATACCCTATGACCCATTAAGAATAAACAAATAGTTGAGCTGTCAAAATTTAACCTCCCAGAATTTTTGCTTCGAAGTTAGAAATATTGGTTTGAATCATTTTCGAAAAAAAGAAGTTCGAGATTGGTTCAAATCAAATATAATTGATTCAAACCCAGAACTCTGAACAAGGAGGATATGATTCAATTCTAATCGTGGGGAAAGATTAGAATCCTTGAATTAACTTTCCTGCACACTTAGCACAAAAATAGATTAAATTCTTTTGAATCATGGTTTTAAACCATCATCAAGATACAAAGAGAACCTAACATATAAAGGATATAATTATCATTGATAAAATTCTAGAAAAATAAATTATTAATGAAAATACCTTAAGAAGAATTAAAGAAATGAGAAAATCTCATTCTTAAGTATTTGATTTTATTAAAGAGAGAATAAATGATATCAAATATTCTAGAGATTTGAAAGAAATAAAAGAAGAATAAGGTCTTTGAAAGGCTCAAAAACTTTAATATCCCTAGTTAGAGATATAGAAATCAAAATAAATGAAATTCTTAAGATATTAAAAGTAGTCATTGAAAAATTTGCCATAAAAACTTAAGATGTGTAATAGAATAATCCCACAATTGGAAAGCAATATAAACAAGAATTTCTATAAGATCCAAACTCAACTTAAAGATCTACAAGATACTATAATATTAGTTTGTAGTATACAAAATATTATAGATAGATTTGAAGGATTTAAAATAACCTCAAAGATTTTCACAAGAAAACCTAAATTGAAGGGAATAACATTTTTTATGTTAAAAACTCAAGAAGAAAAATTGAAAGAATTGGAACAAAAATTCTTGGAAGAAGAAGATATAGAAGAATTAGATAATCTATGCAAACAAATTACGATAACTATTAAACAACTAGAAAATATGAAGATGAATACTTAAAGAGAAGGAAAGGAGGAAATTGAAGAAGAGATTGAAGAAGAAAAAGATGAGAGACAACCACCCCAATAGAATTCCCTATACAATAAGGGGTGGAATCTAACACTAGTCAAAGTTACAAAAGGAGTAGAAATAAGATACATGAAATATTATATAATAGAAAGAAATTTGAAAAATCAATCTAGACTTGAAACCTCAATTAGAGTCAAAGAACAAATTAGTAGTACCAATGGCATTTGCCTAAATCTAGACTATTTTACTAAACCAAAGAAAGTCATTAGTCACTAAGCTCAAGTCACTTGGATAGTTATAGCCAACAAAAACTAGAATGCTTTACAAGTAGTTAGATTTATTGAAGTCATCTTTAGAGAAATAGTTCATGACTGGTTTACTGGTCTAAATGAAGAAGAAAGTAATACTATTGTTAGTGAAAATCCTGCTTCAAAAGGAGTAAATAAAAACAAAGCAAATCAAGACATAATAACTAAGTTTAAATTAGCTATAAGAAAAGAATTTTTAGGAAAAAATTGGGAAGAGAATCAAGAAAAGGAAGAAGCTAGAATTGGTGGAATGGTAGTGTGGAACCTACAAAATCTAGAATTATATAATCTTTGTAAACTAGACTAATATATTTGTTTATTAAAAAAATATTATTATAAAGCTTCAAATCATGAAATGACCAAAGGTCTTAGAAAACAATTTTTTGGGAAAATCCCTAATCTTTGGGGAATAAAACTAGTAGAAACCTATAGAACTTATGTAGAAGAAAAAATTGATACATTAGAACTTAGAATTTGGTTCACTAAAACCAAAATAAATAAATGGTGTATAGAAATCTATAGTTATAACAATTTAAGAAAGAGTATAAAAGAGGAGTTATGTTGTCCCGAAAATAGTGATCCAATTAAGTTAAGATATAGTTATTCAAATTATAAGAAGAGAAACAAAAGATTTAGAATTAAAAGAAGTAATAAATAAAAGTTTAATATGAATAAATTTTCTAAAAAAAAATAAGTATTTTAAGGAAACAAAAGCACTAAAAAAATATAAAATGAATCATAAGAAATGTATATACTGCTTATATAAAGCATTGAAGTACATTATGTAAATGAATGTCTTAAAAGTTCAAAAAAATATATTAAAAATTTAAAATTTTATGAAGACGCATTAAGCAAAACAGAGATTATCTATAAAATAGATAAAATTATATATGAAGTGGAAAGTTTATCAACGAGTGCAGATTGCCTATGCTCTTTATCATCAAAACACTAGATGTGTCGTTTATTGGGCTGCACCTGTTTGCAACCCAGACAACAGTTTGCTCTGGGATACTCCTGAATCAAATTCCCAAGTAGCGACTCTTTCCAGAACTTACGAAGAACCCCAGTTCAAAGTTTCCATCTATAGAGACAAAGGTTCTGCCATCAGATTGTGGGATGAGGTGTCGATATCAATTCCGTAGGAGAAACTAGAAAAGAAAAGCATTAAGAGGGAAACAAAAAGAAATACCCCAAAAATCAGTTTGCTTAATAGCTGAGACGATCATAATCGAGCTAGCTCACCATCCGTAAACCCATTTGGACCATCCCACAAATCCGATCTTTGAAAACACCGACGCCAAAGAAGAAGATAAACAGGGGAATCTGGGCCCGAAAATAGTCTCTAGTCTGTGTACGCTTGGTTCCCGAGTAGATGGTGGATTCTGCTCATTGGATCCCTTAAACCGAGGGTGGTTTCCTTCTGTAGCGGGCGGCCCGCAGCGATCGAAACAGAGGCTCGCATTTTCGCTGTAAAAAATAATAATAATAATAATAATAATTTTTAAAGCCTTATTACAAATTCACCCCCTATTAAATAGTTTTTTCTTTAATTTATTTTTGAAATATCACTATGCATAAGGAGATAGCTCACAAATCCCTGACAAGAAAAAATTATCATATCATTCTTAAGTTAAAAAAAGATAACATACTAAGCGCATTTTAACAAACCATTCTAAGCATAAGAGATTGATGACTATCATTTGTTTTCAACTACCATTACATGTACCAGAGACAACATTCAACTAGGAAATAAGACTACTAGAAAATTGACAAATTAGTTCCCTTGATACATTTAAGTTCGAACTAAAATATCATTCAGTTAATATTAACAGCACCGCTAGGCAAGGGGGTATTCAAGTAATTGACCTTTATCTAGCCTCCAATACTGACAAGCTAAGTTCATTAGTTGAAGATGATTTAGGTTTACTGAATGAAGAACTTGTTTCGAAGGATTTCTTTTCAAAAAGGAAACCAGGTTCTTTAGGTTGTACTAGTGAGGTCTCAATCTCACTACTCAACATCAAAACCACAGATGACATATTTGGCCTATCTTCCGGGTGTTGCTGAACACATAAGAGACCAATATGGATGCACCTTAACACTTCAGATAGAGTGCAAGACTCCAATACAAATGAATCAATCAGTTCTGAAGGATTTCCCTCTTTCCACAATCTCCATGCCTAAATACATGGTAGAAACTTTCTGTCATGTTTGAGTTCAAGGAAATTAAGAAAGGAGGTCTCAAATCTTGATACTTACATGGCCAATAAGGTTAACATTGTGGTTGACATGATAAAACCCTCTATTCTTCATTCCACTTATTATTTCCAGCAACAGTATTCCGAAGCTGAAAACATCAGATTTTACAGAGAACTGCCCATCAATAGCATATTCTGGTGCCATATAACCACTGCAAAAAAATTATTTGAGACAAATTATATCAGTAGGGATTTGTAGTAAATTAGGTAGTATAGAGAGAAGACTTACTATGTTCCAACCACCCCTTTATTTTACCCTCAAATTGAGACAAATTATATCAACAGGGATTTTGTAGTAGTTAGGTAGCACAAAAAGGACTTACTAAGTTCCAACCACCCTCTTCGTGTTCCCCTCAGATTGTTCTCCTCCAAATGTTCTAGCCAAGCCAAAATCTGAAATTTTGGGGTTCATTTCACCATCAAGCAAAACATTGCTTGCTTTGAGATCTCTATGGATGATCCTCAATCGAGAATCTTGATGTAGATAGAGAAGCCCTCTAGCAATTCCACAAATAATGTAAAAACGCCTTGGCCAGTCCAATAGATTTCTTCTTGTATGGTCTGTCACATAACATGTTCTTCATATCAATGTAGTGTTTAACTAGTTTTTGATAGAGAGTTGGACAGAAATATGACGAAAATGTGTGATGAATTTATCCTACTAGTACTAATATTTGAACGGGTTTCAGTGGAATCCATACCAAAAATGAAGAAGTCCAAACTTTTATTGGGCATATATTCATAAACCAGCATTTTCTCCTCCCCCTGAATGCAGCATCCTAGAAGCTTTACGAGATTTCGATGTTGAAGTTTGGCTATAAGTGCTACTTCATTTTTAAACTCTACTAATCCTTGTTCAGAGCTTTTGGAGAGCCTCTTCACAGCAATTTCTTTTCCATCTAGCAAAGTACCCTGGGAAAGTGAACTTGTAAAGTTGATTTCTTAACAAACACTTCTTATCCTGGGAGTCTTTTTTTTTTTTTTTTAATGGGAAATAGAGAAATATATTAAGTAATAAGAAATTATAACAGAATTTCTATCTTATGATATATAGCCAAAATCAAAATAATCTAAGGACAAAATCAGAAGTATAACCTACAACTCTAATAATAGACTTAAACTATACCTATGATGGACATAGACAATAAAGTAAAGAGAACCATCTGCAATTAGGGATTGAATTTACAATCACTGTATGGACTAAATAGTGCTACTAATGGAAAAAAGGGGAGTCATTATGAGCATTAAGAACTACTGGACATCCTCACCTATTTAACCAGCTTCTTGGGAAAAGTAAGGGATTTCGACAACAAACAGTCCCCAACCCACAAGTTGCCGCCTTACTTGTTCTTAAAGAAGAACAACCAAGAAGGGTATGGGTCTTTTCCTGACAAGCACAAAGCCCCCCAGTTGCCTCCATATACTCCCATCATGTTCCCATCTTTGCCGATTCTCTTCATACCCATGCTATCAAAACTCATTAAGGGAACTAGAACCCCTTTGCTGACTTGAAAATCAAGCTTCCCACGTAGACCATAGCTAGCCTTACCAATAGCATCCCTTTCCTTCAGCAATTGGCTAGCTGGTCAAGCACTAGTGAGAACTAGATTCGTCGAATTCGACTCTCGCTAAGATCCCATCCAAGGAGATGCATCAAAGCAAGATTCTTGCTTGTTAAATAGGAGAAACCCACTTCATCGGAAAGATCAATTCTAATCGTAGCCTTCAAAAATCAACAGATGTAAACCCTAAAAAACCCAAAATGCAGCTGCCTTGTGGTCCCTTGGGTTGGAATTTCCAAAGCAAGATAGCGACCAAAGGAAGGAGGAGATCAAGAGTAAGAAGGGAGGGGTAAGAAAAAAGGGGACGAAGGAACTCCTATGCTGAAAAAAAACCGTAGAGGAAAACCCGCCATCACTGCTCTCAACCCTAGAAGTAGTGCATAAGACAAACCCTAGAGAGGCCTTAAATTAGTAAGCTAAAATTTAGTTTACAATTATCCCAAGAGTCATTTTTACTAGATCTTTGAACATTTACCTTGTATACAGAACCAAAGCCACCTTCTCCTAGCTTGTTGTGGGAAGAGAAGTCATTGGTGGCCTTGGATAATTCAGCTAATTCAAATAATGAGAGTTCCATATCTTCATTTTGCCCGTCATTGCTCGTGCCATTTCTTCTTCCTGAAATGGCAAGGAATTTAATCAGAACCCAATCATAAGAAAGAACCAATGGAAGTTGTTATCAATATTTAATGGCACAAAGATCTGTGAAGGCAAACAAACATGCCTTCTACGTTTCGACTGCCCCTGCAAATGTAATTGGTGATTACAAGAGCACCAATAGCTACAAGAATAGTACTTGCAATTATCAGTCCTGCCTTCATTTTAGTCTTGCCTTTTGTCCCTTCATGGTCTAATTCAACAAAATAAAGAACAAATATATGAATTAGAGACATAGCAAAGAAATAGTTTCACATGTTGACTGAAAATAGAACTAGTAACACCCAACATAAATAGGAATCAACATAAGGAAATATTGAATTGCCAGGGTGATTTAAAAGTAAGCCAAGACCTGAATCAGCAGCAGACACTCGAACGTATAAATCCTGTCCAGCAGCTTCGACCTTTTTAAGATCAACTAGATCACCAAACCAAATTGCACATCCTCTGTTTTCTTTGATATCCAAGGTTGTATAGGCCATACAAGAACAATTCTCTAGGCATTTAGCCCTGCACTCATTGAGGTTCATACTTCTATTCACCCAAGAATGTTCTGTATCTGGCAGTTTCAACCCTCCAAATTTGATAAATCCATCTCCTTTCTGGCAGTCTAAAGGTTTATTGCGCACACAACCCTGAAACCAGTCCTCTGAGCTGCCCTCTTGTGATTTCAACCTAAAACCTTTCAAACATTGACAAGGCGGCAGTGCTGTATTCACACACGTCCCATATGCCCCGCAAGTCCCATAGTTGTCACAGTCATCCCATGGAAACTGGTTGTACAATTTCCAGGTCCTAGCTTCTTCATTCCATATGTAGAGCTCCCCCTTAATGGAAGTTTGGTTCAAAACGAGCCTTGTGGTTACAGATTTGTTTATCAGATGATAAATGTAGTAAACCTCCTCTTTATTTGAGATGAAGTCAAACTTGAACAACGGATTGGGCTTCAAGTGGGGTGCGCCACTCATTCCAATGCCATTCCAGGGTCCTGATCGGAAATACTTTTTTGAGCCTTTCCACGTAATAAGACCGGGATAATTATAAGGCTCCATCTCATGAGTTAAGTCTCCAGGGCATGGATCATCTGGCGTCTTCCATGCTGATAGTTGGCGATTAAGACCACTCCTTAAGTCCCGTCCAAGTTTCATTTCTGGCAGCAAAGTATCTGTAGGATAGTCAAAGCTTTGCCACAAAATACTACCATTTCTATCCCTCAGAACAAGATTTCCAGAATCCAAGAGCTGAACTACTGGGTTTTGAGCTTCATTTGTTGAGTTTGATGCCCAAACAATACTCCTGCTTTTATTCAGAAGTACCAGATTGCTTGTGTTGTTTATCATCAAAACACCAGATGAGTCAGTTATAGGGCTGCACCTGTTTGCAACCCAAACAACATTGTGAACTGGGATATTTTTATACCAAATTCCCAAATAACGATTTTTACCAGAGCTTGCAGAATTGAAGAACCCCAATTCAAAGTTTCCATCTCTTGAAACTAAGGTTCTGCCATCACTAAGATTGTCGGATGAGGTGATGATATCAGTTCCATCTGAGAATCTAGAGAAGAAAAGAAGTACGGGGAAGATGATAAACATTAAAAATTGAATGTAAATTGGTTTGCATGCTTTCAAAAATAACAAATAGTAGCTTTATGGTGTCCAGTACACAAGTGTGTTGACTAGTATTCAAGCCTTCCCTGAATAATGAGCTGACACCAGCAGTAAACTGTTTTACTGTTGCATGATTAATTAGGCACAGCGGAATATGGAAGTTAGCATTAACTTTTAAACCAATATGATTTAATTTTTGTGTACCACTTTATACAATGTGACGATGACAAGGTACGATTCTTCTTAAATGACAGCTGCACAAGTTGAAATAACAAGATAAAACTCTACGTCAAGTCATCAAACTTATCTTAAAATTTTGATTAACTCAATAAATTTTTATTAAAGTAAATAAATCTTTAAATTAAATGATTTAATTAATTTATTTATTTTTTTATAGCAAACTTAATATTCATTTGTGCATTCTTTGAGTGGACAAAGTATTGAGATATTATTACTTACTTGGTAAATATTAACCTTATCCACACAAATAAAATGCAAACCAAAAAATTAAATTTATCTGAATCGACAAGTTCAATGAATTATTTATTTTTAAAAAAATTTAAAGACTTAATTGAAAATCTAAAATAAGTTTAACAGGGGTTTTACAAAAGAAAAAAGAAGAAGAAGAAAGAGACTTAACAAGAAAGATCACCTCATTCACAGATTTTCTTCGCAATGGGTTGCAACTTGCAACTGGCTGTGCAGGGATCGCTATGCTAGTGTCCAGTAGAAGAACGCCTCGTGAACTAGGTTCTTGGACTTGTATGCATCCTTGGCTTCTTCACATGCAACATAATTGTGGGAACCTACATTGATGTCAACAAAATTTGATGGAGAATCATGTATCCAGATTTTATCATAAATGCCAAAGGGTGTTTGGTATAGGTTCATTAATTAAAGCCACCATCTGCATCTGCAACCAATATGACATTTACTTAAAGCAGAGCAATAACGATAAAAAGGAAAAAAAGAGAGATTTCGGAGTCAAAAGTACATTTTTTGAGAACTGCACTTATTTTTTAAGACCCTGATGGTATGTTCACTAACGTGATTTTCATAAAGTTCATTTAAATATGAATTTTTAAATTTAATATTATTATTTATTTTTATAAAATAAATATATAATTAAATTTAGTCCCGCACTCGGTGGCCAAATGGCCACCCCCTTGCAAGGGACGTGCGTAGGACTATAAGGACTTGGGATCAATCCCAAGTCGCTCCCATTCCCCCTTCCCCCTTCCCCCAAGAAAAAATATTTTACACTGTTCAAAAAAAAATATAATTAAATTTATTTCAAATATATGTAATTAGATTTATGTATTTCATTATTTTAAATTTGTGTATTTAAAAAACCCTTTTAACTCCATGTATTTCAATTTTAGATTTATATATTTCAACTCTCTATTTTTCCTCAATAAACAAATTGAATATCAAATTCATTATTATTATATTAATTCAAAAAATAAATTTAAAAATACATATATTTAAAATTACGTGTTAAATATATCCCTAAAATACAAATTCAAATTTGCAAATATACGCTGAGAGAAAATGTGCTCAATAGAAAGTGCAAAAAAAATTGAAGCTTTGATGTCAAGAATGATCCATTAACACAGTTCATTTAAGAAATACCCACGTAAACAAACATAATATAAGAAGTGCACGGTTTGATCATGATCAACAACTTAACCAAGTCTAAGTCTCAATTTTTAAGTGAAGATCAAATTCATTGAAAGCATGAAACACAAAAAAAAAAAAATGACGTTGTATTTCTCAAGTTTATAAGGGTTAGAGTACCATTTGCACTCTCAATAACTTAATTTGACATTTGGTTAAAAAACAAAAATACACTGTATTACTAATATGTTACTATAGTAGCATATGAAAATAACATCAGTAACTGAATCAAATCAATGCACCAGTTAGAAACAATCCCAAAAAATTATTGAGTAAAATGGGCTGTTCAAGGTGGGCAAAATGTGGCAGAGAGTTCAGAAAATTACTGAGTAAAGCTTCTCTTTGAAGATGAAATGTATACACTTTCTTAGACTCTTGTCTTGAAGGAAAGCAAAGCATGATAGGAACGAGAAAAAAAGATTAGGACATCTTTTCAGAATGCCATATGGACCATACTTTCCAAAATGCATAGAGGCACTCCATATCCAAACATGCCAAAGAAAGGCAGCTTTGCTAAAAAGGAAAACTCACTAGGTATTAGCATTATATATCTAGCTCAAATTGATTAATAATTAAGTCTTGATAATTAGATTTCCATAATCTCTATTTTCCTATCATCATGCAGCAATAGTAATGTATGTCAAGATATACACATACAGAAAGATGAAATAAGCGTGATTGGAAATTGACCTAGTATGCCAAGGTATAACAAACAAACACACATTAACACAAAAGTTTTGTGAACGCTGAAAGCATTATTAGTATCTATAAATGCATAGAAAATCCCAACCTGCATCATTTGAATGCATCTACCACCCACCCCATGACCAGTATCAAAAATTGAAGCCATGTACTCAAGAATATCCACACTGCAATTATTTTAAGACATCATCTTCAACTGATACCTAATCATCTAAATGAGTTACATGCTAAAAAAATGTACTAAGCCCTAAGCACCCGATCACCAGATAGCCATCTCTATTAATTCCACACTTAACCAATTTCCAATCATTTTACTGTTTAACCATATAGTGGCATTAGGCCAACAAAAATACTTACAGCTTGCAAGGATTTACTAACAAGCTAATTTCACTTCAATAAGAGTACTATGACACTTCAAGTAATATAATAATGAAAATAAAGTATCATCCTATAGAGATTGTAGACTAATTAAGTACTAAAATTAATTAATTTTAATTTTATTTGAATAATTGAAATTAAATAATTAATTTTAGTAAAATAATTAACTAAACTAATTAAAAAAATAAAATTGACTTAAAGTGGCACTAAGAGTTCAAATTCTAAGACATAATTTCACCATAGTCAACCAATATAAAGGTTAGATTAATATACTTCCAATGTCTTTACTCATGTGATTGCTAGATATCCTAACCTATTCAATATACTTTCTTAAATTATGTCAAATCTATCTTGATCTATTAACCCACTATATCTCTATATGAATTTAAATATAGAAAGATGTATTATGCTCTATGAAACTTCCTAGCTTACATAAAAATTTTTTACTCCACTTATCACTAACACTGCATGAATCATGTTGCTCCATCTCTACTTTTCATTCAATTCATGGTATCTATTATCAAAATCTATTGTGCAAAATCTCCTCTCCATCTAAATTATGCTCTTTAAATCAATTGTAAAGGTAGTCAATTATTAAAAATCATTAAAAACAATAATATATACTCTACATGAAATAATAAACTTTGAAGTTATAAAAATCATGAAATTATATATTGTACATTGTAGCCTTAGACAGTTAAATTAGTTCATAATGAAATTATGAAAGAAAATCAAATATTATATAATGAATATAAGTGTGTCTAATATCATAAAATAAAATTCAAGGACAAAAAAACTAGTTTGATGAGATAAAATTCTAAGCATTGATTTTCTTTTGATGTTAAAATTCCTCATGACTGCCTTTCTCTTGTTTTCCAAAAACTCTCCAAGTCTGATTTTAAATGGGTATTTATAGAGTTTGAGAATCCTATTTAAAAATAAGTAGGACTAGTGTCGAAAATAGAATCTTTTACAACTAAAAAGTTCTTAGAGTGTTGGTACTTTTGATTATTTCATTTCACACAACACCTACTTTCCAAAGGCTTAACGTGTAGTATCAGCACCTATCAGGTGGTGTCAACACCAAACCCATGCCGAGTTCTTGGATTTTTTTGCAATTTCATCAATGGTAAAATAGCAATCTAATCCTCTACTTCTTATACAATTAGTAGTTTAGTCCTATAACTTCAAATGCATTCATTTAGGTCCTTGAAAGTGACCTTTCTTCTCACAATACAGTCCCTCAAATTTCAAAAGATATTCACTTAAGTCTAAAAACTTCTATTATCATGCATTCAAGTTCTTTTCTACACAAAGAGTGAAAATTATGTAAAATCTATTGAAAATCACACTCTATCTATCCAAATAGCAACAAAATCAAGGTTAAAATAAGAGATTAAAACATATAAAATGCATCTCATCATTTAGCATGACAAAACAAGCAAGAGCAACAAAGAATAAGTGCCCTTATATTGACAAAAAACATATATATAATACATAGGCCAAACCCCTCTTTGTACCCTACACATTTTTTCTTTTTGTGATCAACACCCTAAACTAATTTTCATCTTGATCAACATCCTCCATAATTTAACACCTGTAAAAAAACCCCAAATTACTAATAAAGTCATGGTGCAAATAAAGAATTTGACCATAAATTCAAGGCACAAATAAAGGGTTTGACCATTAGTTCTTTTTTTGAGTTTTCATGAGTTTTGGATAGTGGAAGGTGTTGACCAAAACAAAAATTAATTTAGGGTGTTGACCATGGAAAGAAAAATGTGTAGGGTGCAAATAGGGCCTTTGGCCATACTACATATATATACACACATATACACATATATAACCATAAAAAGAAGAAAACAATATCCATTGGCTCACTATCAAATCTGTGCATGAGAGTAGTTCCAAAGGTTTTTGGTAGCCCTATTAACGACTTTGTATTTGGGATCAAAATCTAAATATTCTATGCACTAAGAATCCATAAGAAAACTCATTTAAAAATACATTGTGCAATAGAAACACATAAATAACCCACTCACCTCAAAAGTACCAACAATCATCCACTCCCATCCTAATTTTGAGGGTAAAAAGAACCCAAATGAGTAGACCCCAATAACAAACCCATTTGGTTGAAACAAAGAAAGAAACAAACAAAAATAGGAGATCATAGCATATATTGAAAGTTATCTTCAACTTCAACACAAGAAACTAGATAAAGTTGCAAGGCATAAAATTACCCTTAGATTGCATTGCAGAGGCTTTTACAAATGCAATATACTACTCTACCTACTAAACCAAATTCTACAAAAGAAATTGAAGCTTTGATGCCAATTGTCAAAGGTAACCAGTACATAGTTTATATAAGAAATATGCAATGAGTTAAGCAAATATATACTACAAGAAGTGAAAGATTTTTATCAAGATCAACAACTTAATCAAGCCTCAATCTCAAACGTTTTAAAGTAAAAAATCAAATTGAATGAAAGCATGGAAAACATAAATATACTTATATACTCTATTGCTAATTTGGTTGCATTATGTAACAGAGACGCATAAATAACCCACTAACCTTCAAAAGTATTGATCATCTCTACAATGCCATCGCAGTCTATGGGGAAAAAACCTCAAATAACCCAACTAAAAAGAAAGAAAAATGAAACAAAACAGGAGATCATAGAGTTCAAAAAAAGGAATTTTTATGTTTTGTTTCAACAACCAACAGAATTGAGACAAGACAGGAGAATATGGCATCAACTAGTCTGGTTTTCCCAAGCTATTCCTAAGCATAGCTCATAAGTTGGCTAACTGTGCTTAATCGACTAACTACAAGGGCAACGTAGAAGCAATGGACTCCCACGATTTCTGATACTTGCATCTTTCACACTGGCAGTCTAGAAACAAATGAGCACCTCTTTTTTAAATATAGCTACACAAAAGGAATATGGCAGCAGCTTAGCTCTATGCTGGGTATCCCATTCGCTGACTCTTGGCAAGGTTTACACAATGGAGGGGTCAAAAACTCAGAAGGAAGTTTTTACTCAATCTGCTAACTAAGTTAGTTTGGAATGCCGTAGTCTACCACACATGGTTAGAAAGAAACAGAAGGTTTCACTAGCAGCATTTTAAAGTGGAGAGCACGATTGTTCAAGATAGTCAATTCGAGGTAAGGAACAAGATGCTGGGTTTTGGTCGGCCAAACTCTTGTCCTCTACCTATGGCTATTGCATGCAAATGGGGGCTTGAGACAGTTGTGAGACACTAACCTTTGTGCATTGTTTGTACAGTTTTATCATTTTTTGACAGCTTCCTTTTGCTTTGTAGCAGCTTATTGGCTGCTTTATTGCACAAATTGTTATACTCGATAATAAGTTTCACATTTTATCCAAAATAAATAAATAAACAGAGTTGAGGCAAAAAAAAAAAAAAAAGCAACCGAACAGAGTATGAACAAGATACCCACATGAAGTCCAAGACTATGAGGCTTAAAATAAAATACCCAAAATCAATGCAAGTGTCATGGACAACAAAACCTTTAAACCGATAAACCTTCGTCTCACCCTCCGTTGCCCGCTTGTAACCCTTCCTCCGCACGATCATTCTCTCCTCCGTCCTGACTGATACCCAAAAGTGGTTGCGGCGAAAAACATACCCTTAAAATTCACAAAAATCAAAAAAGGGCACCGATTATTGCCTTTACGAAGAACTCTACTTATTTGATTTTGAAGATCCTTGGGAGGAAATTATTTCCGCAGAAAGTTTGAAGATAACTATATCAGAAACAAGAAAATCCAAGGCAACGGTATGATAATTTCCAGGGTTTTGAGAAGAGAAAGAAATTGAATTCATTGGAAGAATAGATGGATGAAGCAAAAGAGAAACAGAGAAAAGCACGAACCGTTGCCAGCGAAGTGGAGAGTACAGAGGAGAGCACGCTGAGACTGCTTCTGATAACATGCAGCAGCCGTGAGCATGCTAAACATTGTCACCGTTATACATCTAGCCATTTTTGGTTGGCCACTTCTCAGAGAAAAAAAACTGGGAAGCCAACTGAAAATGCAATCAACTTGGTTTAGAATATTAACGGTTTTATTTTTTATAGGTAAGGTATAATATAATTAGTTATAAAATAAAATGTAATAGATTATATTTGTAATATTATTGATTATTTTAAAAAATAAGTGATTATATATATATTTTTATAAAGGTAATGGTTAGAGGTTAGTATGTTAGAGGTGTTAATAGGGGTATTAAACCGGGACTTGAAAGTGCAAACCACGGACTATCCTATGGGACAGCAAGTGACTACTAAACCACGGGACGTGGAATGCGATTATATATTAATGTAAATAGTTTTTTTTATAATTGTTTATATTTATTTTAAAAAATAAAACAAAAACTAATAAAAGTGTAATTATAATTTATTATTCTTTTTATAATTAATCATTAGAGTTTTTTATTTTGTGTCCTTTGGGTAAAAATTAAGAGTGTGATAAAAATATCATTTTATAATTAATTTACATAAAAATTAATAACAATTAATTTAAATTTAATTAATTGATTAATTTAAACTATCCACGTAACATTGATAATAAAATAAATTTTAATTTTTATTATTTTTTATATAAATTAATTTTAAAAAATATATTTATTATAGTTTTAATATATATTTCAAAGGCACATACTAGACAAACCCCTAATTATATTTTGTCTAAATTTATGTGCTAAAAAAATTCATATCCTGAGCCAAAGTAATTGAATTTTATGTCAGTTTTCTTAAATTTTTTCTTGAGAAAGTGACCAACTAAACAGGCCTTATGGCCAGGATCGGTTTTGTTTAAATTACAAAAGACTCCTTAATGAGAGACATTGACAACTGGATAATAATTGTAATAACGGTCAGATTTGAGAGTTTTATTGTAAATTTGTTCCTTTTTAAGCAATAATGGGCAGCTGGTTTAACGTTCTAAAAGCAATGCAAAAATAGGATGTATCGCACAGCCGGCGCATTGTAGTGGAAAGACCAGCCGACGGAGATGGGATGGCTTAGACGTTGTACAAGTCAGCATGCGCTATGCATGCCGCCAAGGTTGCCATTGTATTACTTTTTTATGGACAATGAAATGTTCTTTTATATAGTTTTTATGTGTTATTAAATAATAAATATATTTAATATTATAAATTTTAAATAAATAAATAAAAATAATTATTTAAATAATACTTAAAATTATATAAAAATTAATATAAAAAGATTATTACTTTCCATTTTCTCTAGGTTTCAAGAGATGAATTTTATCTTGATATGATCCAATGTGGGTTCCATCCATGGTTGCTTTTGAGGACGCGTGGAGACATCAAATCAAAGACCCTTGTTCATGGTTTATATTCTTTGAACCGTATATTAAAATTTTATACTCGGTATAAAGTATATTGATCATTCTTCTACTAAAGTAAGATGAAATTGAGAAGTTTAGAGTTAGGATTATTTAAGCTAGCCTTGATATTGATCATTCTTCTACTAAAGTAAGGGATAGATAAGGAATAGATACCACCTCTCCTTAAAGAATCTTTTTTTTTTTTTACTCTTAATCTAAATAGAAATTTTAATTGAGACTAGTTCTCCAAATTATTAATAATAGAATAGTTAATCTCAACTGCTTAATAGAGTTTTTTAGTTTTAGGTTTATTTTTTAGAAATTTTTTTTTAATTTTATGTTAATTTTAATAATTTAGATAAAAAAATACTCGTCCTTCAATCTGTCAACAATTAAAACCTAATATTATACAAACTAATGTTTTATCTCAAAGATGGAAAAACTTCTTGATATATACAAGGAGATTCAGCTTTGATGATGCACAGTTGGTTTATAATAGATTTCCAAGCAAGAGGGGCTGAGGCTAGGTATGTTGACTAGGTTAACCATATCTTGGAATCATATCAAGATACAAATATAGATGAATTCGAAGTTTGCCTTAACCTTTCACAAGATTTCTCAACAAGGAAAGTACAAGCCTACAACCATGTTTCTTCCTAATTACAATCTTGATTCTTTAATAGTTCAGTATTTGAACTCGGTGGAAGTGACTGGCAAGGTTGTTGTATACATATTATCCCATTGCCCCTTTCCTGAAGTGTTAAGTGTGACAGGCTCAAACTCACTATTACATCTAAAATTTCTTGGCTCCACCCTTAAGTTGAAATCATTGGAGGTTCTAGGCTGCAACTTGTTGAAAGATATCAAGATTTTTGCAAAATATATGGTGTCATCTGAATATTCTGGTCCAATAACAAGCATGTCATCAATTAACACTCCATCTCTAACACGGCTTCGAGTGGGGGCCAAGTTTTTTGTTAAAAATATTAATCAGCTTTCAAGCTGTCTTTTGCAATTAGAGGTGCTTGAGCTGGACTTCTTGACAATCAAGGACATTAAGGTTAGTTGGTAAATCAAGTTTGCATTATTTGTCATTATGTTTTTTCTTTATGTAATTTCTAATTAGTTAGTACATGATGTTTACAGATTTCCAGAACTTTGCTTGGACTTCTTGAGTTAAGGAATCTTAAGCAACTGGAACTGGCATTAAATCCTCGTCTTAGCAACATACTCTACTGCACTTCTCTCCTAAAATATCTCTTCAATTGCGTACACTTGTAGTAGAGGTAAATTTTCTAATTACTCATTCCTTATGAATTATGATTTTAGAATAGTGCATGTATTGTTGTTATGTAGTTTGATAATGTCTGTGCCAAAGATAATATTTGTACTAGAAAATTGGGAAATGAAAATATCATTTATTTCTTTGGCAGAAGTCACAGTCAAACAGCTCAGCCATTGATGAAAGTAAGAAGATGAAATACAAATTTGGCAAGATGGAGGAACAAGGAGAAAAACAACATAAATGCCTGAAAGTGATTGAAGTGTCTACTTATAAAGGAGGAGGGTGTAGACGCAATGCTCCTACTATGGTTACTTAGAAGGGTTGCATCACTTGAGACGTTGGTACTGTGGAGGAGGAGGAGAGCAAGAATGGTTTTGCCATCTTCATAGAATTGATTCTTGCTCATTAGTTAAAAATGACAGTCAACAAGCTGAATCAGTGTTCTCTAATCTTAGTAACCTAGGCCTAAAATTTATAGTGATATACCCTTATGAGAGGTTAAGCTAGACTATTTCAAAGTCTTAAGGAGGACAATGAAATTTTTTAATTAAAATATTAATTGGATTAATATATTCAACAAAAGGGGGTTTAACTTTAATCTTTAATGAGCACCAAAACAGTTATGGGGTTCAATTTGCTAGTTCAGAAAAAGTTGAAGGGTTAACAACAAAACACTCCAATTTAGAAACAGAAATCTAACTGTCTTTCCTTCCCGCCATTTCTTGATTTTCGAGTCGAGTTGCCACAGATTTAATCAGTTGGTTTGTTATTTTTCAATCACAAAACCAAATTTTCTCTCCTTCCCTCCGTTTCTCAGTTGGAATTTTCTTCTCTTTTCCTCTCTCCCAAACACCTACTGGAAAAGATTTCCTCCTGTTTGAGACATGGATTTGAATGCCATTTTGCAAGAAATTATCTGATTTTCTCCCGAAAACCCCCAGTTCAATCGCTCATATTTTCATTCGCCCACTTGTTCTTGATTTTTCCTCCTTCCCAAACACAAATTCCTTAGATTAGATGGATCCGGTAGAGCAAGCAAATCAAGAATCTGACGATGACGACCAATCTTTCTTTGCCCAGTTCCTGCGAGGTGCTCCAACGGAGAACGGCCCGCTTGAGAGGGTGATAGTGATGATGATACACTACTTCGTCACGCAACTGCTGACCAGGTACCGAAGTGAGTTGGGAATCAAGAAGGCTATGCTGGATGGGCTTCAGAAAGAATCGCTGTTGAAACCTCCGTGTCGGCTCGAGATTCTACCGCAATCTTTGAGCAACAAGCATAAGGAGAAGATGAACGATCTCAAGGCTGAAATTGAGGTATCGGATGCTGATCTCCAGATGCTTCTGAAGCACATCACTTATACAGTTTTTGACAACTATCACCTATGCAATTCCCTGCAGATCCTAGATGTGGATGAGTACTCTCCTTTGATGTATGTTCAGAGCATATTTCCCGAAATTGTTCAGATCCCAATTGAGTACATAGGTCATTTCCATAACGAGCAAGAGGCCCATGCTGATGGATTCCAGACAATTTAGCAAGTTCTAATTTTGGAGGTGCTGGTTGCTGCTCTGTTTCTTTCACGGTTTTCTCTATTTCTTTTTCCTGTTTTTGCTACCATTTGGGTCTGCGCTGCTCCGCACAGCACCACACAAATTGGGGGATTCCTGGACTTATCTTCGCAGTTTCAAGTTTGGTTAAGTTCAACTGCTTTGTTGAGGCCGGCCCTTTTTGGTTCTTTTCTTTTATCTACTCATTGTTTCTAATCGAATAAACGAGTTGGGCGAATGGTGTTCTAGCTGTGGGGCGTGCGTTCATAGTCTGCTGAAATTTGGAGGTGGATTCATGGATCTCTGTTTGTATATTCTGTTTTACTTCTATTTTTCATGAATCCCATCTCAAATTGTTTCTTCCACTCGATGTAAATTGCTTTCAAGTTCTTGTATCTACAGCATACTAGTGTGCTTTGTAGTCAATTCAATTTCAATACAATTTCCTGTTTGAGACCAAACTATTCTGGTTGCAAATTTCCTAAGCAATTTACAACTCTCATAAGTTTTTTTTGGCCATTTCTATGATCCAGTGTACTAAGGTTGCATTGTTGAGACTGACTCTGTATGGTTCTACTTCTCTTAAAAATTTCCCGTAATTGTTTCCATTTGGTATGCGCAAGACTTCGGCGAATGGTGCAGTATCTTTGGTGGGTACTGGAATTTGTAGGTGAATTCAGGGGTTATGTAGCAGCACCATACATAACATGAACATTAATGGTAGTTCTTTTTAGCTACTGAAATCTTCAAGTAGATTCAATCCTAGGTTAGAACACTCTCATTTTCTCTCTGGGGAGCTTAGCCATCACCTTTCTTATTCTCCACATCTGTAGATGGGAGGGGACGCTCCTTGGAGGGGTCAGTCTTAAATTCTCTTTTGGGAAGGGATAAAGCTCCCCTCAGGATGATGCAGTCAGGATGGATGTGGGTAATGTTCATGAACCAACAATGGATGATGGCAGGCAAACAAATAACTAAAGAGATTCAATTGGAGAGCAATTACCATATACCATCACAATTCATATCCATAGCAGTTACATTCATCAATCAATAACCATAATAAAACGTAGTTTTTGGCATACAGGCTTCTGAAACAGACATTAAGCAGCTAATCTTAGGGTTCAAGAGCACATGATAGGTACATAACACAAGCAGTCGGCGTGTTGAGAGAGTGCAGCGGATAAAAAAAGGTCTCAAATTCACCTCTGGCATTGAAATTCATGGGCTAAACCTTGAATTGGACATACACGTTTTATCTTTTATTCTTTTAAGTACATGGAGTGAAATTGCGGGAATTGGGGGTTAAAGTTGAAGGCGCTAAAATCTTTTGGGGCCAAAGGAAAATATGTGAAACGGTAATTAGCTCGACTTAAAAATTTTAATTCTACTTTAATAGGGTTTTATCTAAATTTTGGGAGTTTAAATTTGGGTTGGGTTCTGCTTCTGCTTTTTCTGTATCAGAGGGGACTTTCAACTGTAGAGTGGAGCATTCAAAACTTGAGAGAAACAGGGGGCGTGAGACAGAGGGGAAGAGGACTAGGAAGTTTTCTTCAAGTAAATAAAGATTGAATTTTATGCCTCTCACAGGTTTGTGCAAACTTCTTAATTCCTAACTTACGTATGCAAGGAAGCAGGTTCTGGTCTTTGGAGTATGAATTTTTTTCTCACAGTGAAGCACACCCAAACCCATCTGCTCCTTCGTTTTGCTTTTCCTTTTTAATTCTATTTATTTGATACTTTGAATTGATTTTGGTAGAGGCTCACTGTCAAGAGTTTTGTTAATTATTTTCCTCTGAGCTAGTTTAATATTCTGTGATTAGGCCTTGCAAGCTCATAAAATTAATTAAGGAATTGATATTTAATTATAGTTGCCTGTAATCCGATTCTAAGTCCGTAAAAATTACTGAACTTTAGGTTCAAAATTTTTTGTTTGATCGATAATGGGGATGTTGGACGGGAGAAAAAAAAGGAGAAATAAAATTGTTTACGGAGCCTTTGAACAAAGGCTAAACTCCTAAATTTGCCCATCAAATAAGAGGGTAGAAAATGATCCACCCCACAAAAAAGTAAGGATAAATTGATCTCCAAATTATTAATTAAGACAAGTCACTTATTATTATTATTAAACCTGTAACATAATACTTGAGTGGCAAATAGATTTTTGATATGTGATAACATCACACATTAAATATGAATTATTTGTCTTGATCGATAATTTTGAGGCATAATTTGTCTTGCTTTTTTTTGAAAGGTGGATATATTTTTGTCCTCTTATTTGAGAGGTGAATTTAGGAGTTCTACCTTGGATTTGGTTGGATGTCTGCCGATTGTAAGTTTTATGGTTATTTCTATATATTTGCGCAGTTTAGGTAGAAGGGATTCAATTGAGGTTGATAGTCAAAGGAACTAAAAAAAAACTTGTCTTCTTTAGTTGTAGTTCTCTATGTGTCTTGTTTTTATCAGGACAAAAGAGTTTGAAATCAATTGCTTTCCATCTTGATCATTGAGTGGCTTTAGCATTAAACTATGGCATGTAAGGAAATCAATTGGATTTTGTTTTGTTCATAGGTAGGGGTTAACTGTTTTTGAAAAAAAAAAAAAAAAAACCAAAAGGGTAAAAGGAAAGAGCCATGTTGATATGATATCTAACCTCATCCTTTTTTCTTTTTCTTTCTTTTATATGGTTTGCAGCCTCTTTAAAGTTGAATAGAGAATGGCCGTAACACCTTTATCCGTATATGAACCTGGAAGGACAGATTTCATTAGTAAATTGCCTGTTGAAATTCTTATTACAATTTTATCTTTCTTGGGCATGGAAGAAGCTATACGAACCAGTGTCTTATCTCGTAGGTGGAGAGACATGTGGACATATACAAGAAGACTGAGCTTTGATGATGCACAGTTGGTTTATGACAGGTTTCCAACCGAAAGGGTTGAGGCTAAGTTTGTTCATTGGGTTAACCATATCTTGGAATCACATCAAGGTACAAATATAGATGAATTTGAAGTTTGCTTTAATGTGAATGAGGGAGATTCTAAGAGTGATATTGATGGCTGGATTGCATTTTCCCTTCGAAAGAGAGTTAAAAGGTTGTATGTGGATTTTACAACCTTTCACAAGATTTCTCAACAGGGAAAGTACAAGCTTACAACCGAGTTTCTTTCTATTTACAATCTTGATTCTTTAACAGTTCTCTATTTGAATTCGGTGGAAGTGACTGGCAAGGTTGTTGAATACATTTTATCCCATTGTCCCTTTCTTGAAGTGTTAAATGTGACAGACTCAAACTCGCTATTACATCTCAAAGTTCTTGGCTCCTCCCTTAAGCTGAAGTCATTGGAGATTCTAGACTGCAACTTGTTGAAAGATATCAAGATTGCTGCAAAACATCTGGTGTCATTTGAATATTCTGGTCCAATAATTAGCATATCATTGATTAACACTCCATCTCTCACAGAGATTCGAGTAGGGGCTATGTTTTTTGTTAAAAATATTTATCAGCTTTCAGGTTGTCTTTCGCAACTGGAGGTGCTTGAGCTGGACTTCTTGACAGTCAAGGACATTAAGGTTAGTTGGTAAATCAAATTTGCTTTATTTGTCATTATATATGTTTTTTCTTTCTGTAATTTCTAATTACGTACATATTGTTTACAGATTTTTAGAACTTTGATCAGACTTCCTGTGTTAAGGAATCTCAAGCAATTGGAATTGAGGTTAAATCGTCTTAGCAACATATTCTACTGCATTTCTCTACTAAAGGTGTTTCCTCAACTACGTACCCTCATAGTGGAGGTGAATTTTCTAATTACTCATGCCTTATGAAATTATGATTTTAGAATAGTGCATGGATACTTGTTGTGTAGTTTGATAATTTTTGTACCAAAGATAATATTTGTACTAGAAAATTGAGAAATGAAAATAGCATTTATTTCTTTGGCAGATGTCACGGTCAAATAGCTCAGCCATTGATGAAAGTGAGAAGATTAAATACAAATTTGGCAAGATGGAGGAGCATGAAGAAAAACAACATAAATGCTTGAAAGTGATTGAAGTGTCTGGTTATAAAGGAGTCGAGGGTGTTGATGCTATGCTCCTGCTTTGGTTACTTAGAAGGGCTGGATCATATGATGACTTGGTGATAGCTGTGGAGGAGGAGGAGAGTAAGGACGCTTTTGCTATTTTTGCAAAATCGGTTCTTGCTCTGAAGGTTAAAAAGATAGGTCCGAAGGCTGAATTAGTGTTCTCTACTTTATCTAATTTGAAGGAATTGAGCTCAATTAGCTGATGCAACAGAGAATTAGTGGATTCGATTAGTAGTTGTGTTAAATATTCTTTTCTCTTTTGTGTGTTTTTTTTTTCCCTTTTATTTTGGGAGGCTCGGGTCCTGTTAGATTAATTATGCAAATTTGGCATGTCCATGTTAACAATGTCTTCGTTGAAATTTGTTTCACTGTGTAAATTTGCTTTCAAATTCTTGTACTGCAGTATACTGGTATGCTTTGTAGTTAATTCAATTTCAATACGATTCCTGTTTGACATCAAATTATTGTCGTTGCATGTTTCCTAAACTATTTACGACTCTATTAAGGTTTTTTACTCATTTTCTATGATCTAGTTTACTAGGGTTGCATTTAGAGCGGCTATGTTTGGTCCTGCTTCTCTTATTTTTCTTCTCTAACTGTTTCCATTTGGTATGCACAAGACTTGGTGAATGGTGTTGTATCTTTGGTTCGAGTCTTATTTGGTGGATTCCTGCGTATGTAGCAGCACAAGATATAACGTGAAAATCTACTGAATCTTCAAGTAGATTCAATTCTAGATTGGAACACTTCATTCAGAGGAGGTGAGTAATCTCCATGATGCAACAATGGATGGCAGGATAAAAATAACTAGAAGAGGTTTAATTGGAGAGCAACAACCATAAATCACCACGATGTATGTCCATAACAATTATATTCATCAACCCAGTTTTTGGCACACGGGCTTCTGAAACAGACATTGAGCAGCTAATCATAGAGCTCAAGAGCACATGGTAAGGACATATTACAAGCAGTCTCAACTGCACTTTGATTGTCATTCTTTAAGCTGCGGAAAACATGTGTAAAGATCGGATTTGGGATGCTTTGCTTCAGCATGCTCTCGACACTACATCTCTGTTGTGGTACAGATGAATGTTTTGCATGCACACGTTGCACTAGAACAAGAGCCACCACATGCGAGGACAGAGGAACCCATGTTAAGGCCAAAAACAATGAGATTAACAACCACAATGTCAGGCCCACAACCTTTGTAAAATAGAATTCCTATGATTTGTTTAACAATATTAACACAAGAAATGACAAAGAAAACACAAATAGAAAAGAGCCATCATCTAAAAGCTGGAGTTCACATAATTTTCATCGTATGAACAACAAATAAACAGTAGCAAAAAACAAACCACAAGAAACAATGAAGTTGTGCAATCAAAAATTAATTGGACCACTATCTCAACACAAAAGATGGAAGTGAAGAAAAAATGCACCTGAGCCTATGTTCATTTTTAATTAGTAAAGAAAAAGAAATGGTATTTCAAAAAAGTACCCTAAGAAGCTGGATGGAAATGGTATTCTTGCACTTGCAACTGGATGGATGTCCTAGTTTTGGGCATTGATAGTGGATTACTGACCATATCTTTCCACATTGATAATAAAATAGGCTTAAATTAAGAAACTAATTAAGCTGTAACTAATTCCATCGACCATCAAGTTTACCCCATTGAGCTCCACAAGAAATACACCTCTACAATTTTATAACTTACAGCACAGAATTAACACTTGAAATACAAAACCCAGAAAGACTACTTTCTCAGTCGTTACTCCTTACATAGGAAGATGACATCCACTGCAATTCCATCCAGAAACAGGAAGAAAAGCAACCATAAAACAACAGATCAGCCACAGAAACCACTAAACTCTTAGACATAATATTTGGAAGTGAAGCCAGAGCATGCAAAGAGACTACCTGGATGGACATGGCCTTCTTGTTGGACTCAAGCTGGCTTCCTGCAGAAACAAATTAGCACGCAAAGTCCAGATCAAGGATATGGCACAGATCTAAAAGAACCCAGATGAAAGGTAAGGAAGAAACACCCATCTAAATTTGGGGGGAATGAAATGAGAAAAAAAAAAAAAGTAGAGAGAAAAAGCCATACCCTTTACAGTTTTCTGCTTCTCCATGTGCTTCTGAAGCGCCATCATGGATTTCTGCCCATTCCCTCCTCCCATGATCATGACTAATAAAAGGGTATAAAGAAAGTATTGGACAATGAGAATTTGGATCTCTGTACTTTCCAAAGGTGGAGATCGGAGGAGGAAGAAGAGGAGCTTGAGCTTCGACGGTGTGACACACAGAGTAGGTACTCGGGATGACTGAGCGATGATATGGCACTGACTTGGACAAAAAAACACTAGTTGACTTGGACAAAAGAATACCACTAGATTTTTTTTGTCAAATATAATATATTTAAATATAAAAACAAAAAAATCTAAAAATCAAAAACCACAAATTCAGCCTTTGTGCTGTATCATCTCCTATCTTCTTCTATTCTTCTCTCACATTTTCCTTCCCTTTTATTTTCTTTTCAAATTCTTTAGTTTTTTTTCACATAATTTTTCTAAAAAAGAGATCTAGAATCTTGATTTTCCAGATTTGATTGGGAACTCTATTACATCAATGGTGCTCGCTCGCAACACCACTATGGTGATTACGCTGGTGGTAACAACTACTACTCCGGTGTGGGACACAATTTGGATCTCTTCATTCTTCTATTTCTTCCCAATTTGTTTACTATGTAATTTTATTTGTGATGCTTTGAATTAATCTTGTTGATTCTTAGTCTTGTTTGATGTTTGAGTGGATCTGTTTCCATTTCTCAATTTCAGTTTTGATTTCTATTTCAGCAGTGAGATTGTTTTGATATTTGGGTGTTTTTGGGTGAAACAAATATTTGGGTTTACTTTGAATATTTTGTGTATTAACAGAGGGAGAGAAATAACTTTTGCCGTCTTTTGGTAGCTATTCATATTCAAGCATTGTTGGGCTGCTTTGTTAGAATGAGTATTTTGCTTCCAAGTCTTTACATTTTGTTGTGATGATGATTTGGAATTTGAACATGTCGAACATTTGTCTATGATGATTTCTCTTGGTATTTAATTGACTCTGATTGTTCTTGGTATGCAAATTTTGTTAAATCCTTGCAATTTGTTTGGAAAGTGACTGGGTTTTAGCTGTTGGGAAGTGCTTTCTTCATGAATTTTAGCTCACTGGTGGGTTTTCATTGAATCTTGGACACTTTGAAGAATGAAATTTTTTT